AAAAAAATTAGGTTTACGAGCAAATCTAATTAAAAGTTTAATTTACTGATATAAAATAGTAATTCCTAGTAATATACGTTGTCTTGCGGGAAGTATAAAATTTATCGGGCCAATAAAAGTGGTTTACTTTAATTTTACAATTCTGAGAAATGTATTGTAGTAACGACGAAAATTTACAGTAGCGTAATAGATCTGTAGATTACACCGTCGACCATGTACGAAAGATATATCGGAAATTGTGAATCGCAAATATTGGAACGAAAATGTAACGGAACCATCAAGTCGTTAAAGCGTGGGAAAATAGCAAACGTTAATTAATTTAAAGCGGTGGCAGAATACGTGAGTGAAACGCGACTGTTCTATTTTAAGGCACGGAATCCGAGAAGAATCGGCATCCTGATCGTCACTGTGTGGGTGGTATCCTTAGGAATCTCATTAGCGCCTCAGCTCGGATGGAAGGATCCTGATTATTTGGACCGCATAGCCCAAGGGACGTGTCTCGTGTCGCAGGATCCTGCATATCAGGTGAGTGTTTCCGTAGAATTGGGCGGATCCGAAATACTTGATTAATATTCACAAAATTGGAAATTGCGCTCGTACATTCGATGATCATCAAGAAAGTGTTAACATTTCGAAAAACATTACATAGAATTTTGCGTCAAGTTACGCCGCAAATTTGTTCCTTTCAGAAATTGTGATAGAAGTACATATCGGAATATCCTTGCTGTAGATAAATTTTCATCCTCTCTTTTCTCGTGGGACGAATCGTCATCTGGGCCCGTTCATATATCAATTTTTTAACGTGGAAATGTGTAATAGATTTATGAGGCAGAGGAAAGAACATCGCGCATTATTCTAAAAAAAAAAAAAGAATACACCCACATATGTACGTATGTATAAATTATTTTACAGATCTTCGCAACTTGCGCGACGTTTTATGTTCCGTTGCTAGTTATTTTATTCCTGTATTGGAGGATATTTCAAGCGGCGCGAAAAAGGATCAGGAAGAGGCCCGGCACCATCCTCCAACCACCACGTGAACGGAGGGGCATCCTCAGGCTCGTCACGAGGAGGTTGTAGTTTTTTCTTTTCTTCTCGAGGTTTTTTTTTTTGTCACGAGGCCAGAATCCCTCTCTAAATTTCAAACGTGTAATCGAACGTGTTACCTTTCGTAGTTGCAATAAACTTGGAAAGCTTGGTATATGGAGTAACAACGCGCTAAGCCACCTAGAATAAATCTCGCAACCAAGCTACTGAGAAATGGCGTAAATCCTTCACAAGATAGATTACGTCTGCTCCCCTGTATCTTGCCAAGAACACATTTTTTTCTTTTAGGGTTCATAATTTAACCTATAAATAAATATTTTTATAGCACGCAGTATTTTATCTCAAGTGGCTTAGCATGCTCTAAGCATTTTTATCTCAATGACCAGTGCAGGCCTTTGCTACGAGAATAAAGGTATGGGTTTACCTGTTGATCGTTCTGTCGTAAAAAGGATATTACCATTGCTTAAATAATTGTACATATACTTTCTGAGCTCTATTCTGTTTCGCCTCTATAAAACAAATTGTGTTTAATATTAATCTCTTATAAATTATTCTTTATTAAATTAAATTAGATTAATATCGCGAGATTATTTACTTAATATTGCAAAACAACATTGTTGTAATTTTCAATAAGTAAGAATAATCTCTCACTTTTTGACTACTTTACATTTTTATTAAATGAAAAATAATTTCTTTACTTATTCATCTTACTTCAAAATTTTTTCAAAGTACTCATAAACTCACAGACTAATTTTGTTTTTCTCTTTTTTTTTACATTACTTTCAATTCAAATTATTAATAATTAATTTTAATTCTCTCATATTCTATAATTAACTGTAAGTCAATGCATCTTGTGCAGCTATCAGAGAAATATGGTTCCCCAAGTATTTATTA